TTTAGTGCCTGTCTTATATAAAGCATGTTGTTTTGCACTTGCCTCGACCAAAGTCCTCCTGGTTCAGTGTAAGTTTCAATGTATTTGTAACCCAGGAAAGCACGTGGGCATGTTAAGTAGAAAACCAAAGGTGGAAAAGCTCATCTGCCATCCACCAGCATAGAAACAGTTACAGTGGCAGACAGAAATTTTGTTAATATGCTCAATTCTTGGCTAACTCCTACCAGCACCATTGTGCGTGCCTGTGAAGAGAAGGAGGAAAGAGTAATTTAAGTCATACCAGCAAGCAGCTAGTTCATCTCATGAACTCTCCTCTGCTTCAAAGAGGTGCCCAAGAAGCAAACAGCAGCTGCACTTTGCAGCTCCGAAATTCCTCTTAGGATTTAGGGCAGTAGTAGAGGGCACAGTGTGTATGGTCTGAATGCTGCACTCTGTGTTTATACCACAAGCTGCACTGATTGCATCTAAGAGACTTCTTCAGCCTGGTTTCAAAGCAACTGGCTAAAGGTCTTCCCCTAAAGATTTCTGCATCTTTGAATGAGATCTTCAGTCATGAAGTTATTCAGCACTTTTCCCCAGCACAGGATCAATATTTCCTCCAGACAAGTGCCTACCAGCCTTTACATCTCTCCCGATGCTTGAATAACTGACTGTCACTAACACCAAACTTGGATCATTCTTCCTTTCTTTCTTTGTGCATTTCAACTGGCAGATACACTCTCAGAACAGCAGCTTTGGGACAAGCTGACAGGCCGCCCCAGAGGGCTTCAAATCACTGCTCCTACTTGCAGGTTTTAGAGCACAATGAAAAAGCTGCCATGAGCTCCAAGTGATGGATGTAACACTTCAAGTGAGTCACAGACACCTTTGAAATGCCACAAGATTTTTGGAGGTGTCAGACTGACCCCAACTCCAGCATTACCACTGAGTAACAGCAAGATTTCAATTACTGCAGCTGCTCTAAGATTGCAATAGCACTGAATCAGCCTTGCTCACAGGACTGCACAGAAATTCTGCTACTCCACATCAGGCATAAATTGAGTCAATAGCGCATCTGACCTTTAAGAATTTCTGAAAGGTTATTTTCTGTACCTTGAGATATTTTTCAAAGTAACAAATCCTTATTGATGTTCTTATGCAGTTTTACATCTGCATGAATGAAAGCAATATATACTTCTTCACCTTTTTATTCCCCCTCAAAACTTGTTTCAACTTCAGGTATACCAATTTTGTCAGCAAATGTGCAGTTGGCATTTGCTGGTTATCACATAGAAAATACTGATCAATAACTCACTATTATTTAGAATGGCATGCCACCAGCTAGTTTTAAAACATGATGACTTAAAAAAACAAACAACAAAACAATACCACCACATTCTCAGAAGCTCAACCAGCTTCTAAAGGTACCTATTCAACAAATTTTATCTTCTCATACCAGCAAGAAGCTAGTTCCAGTAATTCCACCTTTTCTTCTCCCAGCATATAATGACACTTGATTTCATCAGCTAATTCTGACCCTTTCTCAAACAACAAAGGGTTATTTATTATTTCATCATTCCCCTTCCTCTTTAAGATTGTTTCTTAATAAGCATAAAACCCTAAAAATTAAATGTGAGGTTTCTAAAAGTTAACAAGAAACAAAATTTTCATTCATTGTTTCAAATTACCTATGAGATTCTACACAACTCTTCTTCTGTGCTGGCAAAAGTACTCAATAAGCACTGATTTGGGTGGCAGATCTCTCTATACTCCAGCTCTCTATAAATTATTTTTATATAGCTAAAATATTGCTTAAATACAACAAATTCTTGTCTTGAGATGAGCATTCTCCGACACAAGTTCAGCTGTAATTAACTCAACAATCAGGTAAATATAATGCAGAAATTATTTTGTGTAAGCAGAAAACATGTCTCAAAACTATATCTGTACCAAGGATCTAGGAATAGTAAACAGTACTTAACCTCTGCAGGAACTAAGTTCTGGAGAATTAGGTTTAAAAGAAGAGACTTTGTTAGCAGAGAATATTATCCCACAGGGTAGTGTCTCCCAAAAACTTCTAGGCACCCGATGGAAACAAGTCCAGAGAAATTACAAGAACATTGTTGCATGGTAACTAACAGCACTCTTAAAAACCTTGTACCCAACTGTTTCATTCAACTGACACCCATTTTCACCACGTTTGAAAGCACACTTCCTCCATTGTTACATTCTGGATTTGATCACATGGGAACCAACTCCATCCCCATGGGAAAAGCTTGCCACTCCCATCCTAGCTCAGTCAATGGATACATCTCAAAGAAGTGTTTCAAAGGACAAAATCTGAGAAACAAAGTGAAGGCAAGGCAACAGGCAGACCTGTCAGCTGGGAACTCAGGATGCCTGGGACAGCAGAAGGACTTAAGAAAGGGAGCCAAGGGTCATACTAGTGACAACTGGAATATGTGGAGAAGGATGGAACAAGTGCTGCTCGGTGCTGCAGGGGTGTGATGTGACGTGTGCGTACCCACACATGTGCGTGTGCACAGGAATGAGGCTCTGCAGAGCTGTGTGGCAGCAGGGTGAGAGACATCAGTGCTACAAATACATCCCTGCACACAGGAGATGCAGCACATGGTGACAGCACTGGGCTGTACCAGCAGGAGCACAGCCCCCTGACCCAGGGAAATCACGGCTCCCTGGCACTCAGCACTTTTCAGAGCCACTGCAAACACCACGGGCAGTTCTGGGCACCCCCAGTACGTGCCAGGCACTGATCAGCCAGAGTGGGTTTGGTGGAGGGGCACCAAGCTGCTCAGAGGGACAAAGCTGTGTGAAGAGAGGCTGTGGGAGATCCAGATTGGAGAAGAAAAGGCTCTGGGGAGCTGACAGCAGATCTGCTGGACCTACAGAGGGTCTGCACAGGGGCACAAAGCAGGACATCAGACACAAACTGCAATGGTGCAGGTGTGACCTGACCTAGAGAAAAGGCCTTTCCTTTCCTGGTGAGGACAGTCAAGCACCAGAGCAAGGACACAGAAACTGACAAACTTTTTTCATTCAGGTCTTAAACCGTCCAAAGTCCTGGTCTGACCTTGGTGTACATCCCACTTTGAGCAGCAGGTTGGACTAGACACCTCTCGAGCCCCTTTCCAGTCTGAATTATTCCACAATGTCAACTTGGATCCCAGAGAACACCACAATGTCCTGTTACAGATTTACTACGCCAGGTTATACCTTTCAAATCTTCACTAAAAAGCCACCACTATGGAGAGGACACAAAACCCTTGCTGTTTGGTTCATCTCCTCACAAGAGCACGGGTTCCCACCCACGATCTACAATAGCCTTGAGTATCAAATCTGGAATTCCAAGAGATTTTAGAGGTGCAGAAGTTACCACTGTGTGCAGAACAAGTGGAACCCAGTGCCTAAACATTCAGAGCTTTTTTGGGAGAAGGTGGTGTTTACTCCGAGGCAGAAAATGTGACACATCCACAACAGCTCTTCCTTAAAGTAGCAACTGTATATTTCTTGAAAATTTCACATTCAGCACCTGCCCCCCATGAACAATCTCTACATTCTGATACTGTTAAGGCACAGGGTGAGAAGCTGCTTTGTTCTCTCTGTATATTCAGGGTCTACAGCTCCACACCTGGGAAAAGAAGCCTCACTTAGCAAACCAAAACCATGCCAGCTCCCACCAGGAGCACCTGCAGTGGTCTAAGCAGACTGCTTTGTTTTTATTCTTCTGCTGGGTGCTGCTGCCTCTAGAGCAGAGCTACTTAAATAAAGGCTGTTTATTCTAAATTAATTGATTCTGCATTGAAGCACACAGAGACACTCACAAGGCCCATTACTCTAAGTCAGGAAGGGGAGCTACCACCTTCAACCAGAGAGCAGAACATCTCAAACCAACACAGAAGTTTCTGCACTGATTTGCTTCTATAGGCTAAGTGATTATTCACCAAGTCTGATGCTTGCATAACCATACAAAGGATATCCAATGTTAACAGTTATAAAGACAAGCAAATGTAACCATCTTATTAGCATTAAAAAAAGGAAAAAAGAACTGTTACTTCCTTTTACTGTTTGGGTTTTTCCTGTTTAGTGTTTTGGGTTTGGGGTTTTTCTTTTTTGTTTTTTAAATCAAAATTCCCGCACCTGCACACAGACTGGAGGCACGTAGTAAACTTTTTAAAGCACCAGTTTTGTACCAATCGACTAAGAGACAGGATGGGATTTCAATGGAGTTTGCAAGCATCTCTCAAATGTGAGCACCGAAACACAGAGCCACCCAAAACCCATCCTCGGAGGGAGCAAGTTGAAAAGCTGGAGACAGGATCCGGAGAGGAGAGAGAGTAACAGGATCAGCAGCACCGGCTCGGCACACCGAGCCTTCCCCTTCCACGGCTCACAAACAAATCTCGTGCTCACGCAGACAATAAATTATGACTTTGCATGTCCGTTTAGCAGTCCCACAAACCGTGTTTACCAGTCCCACAGATCGCTGCTGCTGGGCCACAGCAGAGCGTGACAGCGGCCGTGCCCGGGCTCCGCCAGGCCCTTCCGTCCGAGCACCGCGCTGCCGGCACGGGCAGACCCCCGGGAGCCCCGGCACCCCGCGGGGGGCGTGTGCACCCCCCGGCCGGCTCCACCACAATCACAACCCCGCTCGAGCCCCGAAGCTCGGCCGGGCGCGCCCTGGGCCGGCCGCCCCGCTCCCGGTGGCGGCTGCAGCCTCAGCCCCGGGCCCGGCCCCGCAGCCCCCGGCTCCTCGCCCCGCACCGGGACCCGCCCCCCGGGCGGCCCAGCAGCACCGCCCCTCCGCCCTCCCACCCCCGCAACGCTCCCGGCCCCTCGGACCGCGGCAGCCGCTCCCCCGCCGCCCCCACCCGGCGCCCACCGCGGGTCGGGCTGGCGCCCCGCGCACACCCCCGGCGGGGCGGGCGGGCCTTCGCCGGCGTGCCCAGCCCGGCCCGCTCCGCTCCCATTGTGGCGGCGGCCCCGCAGCGCTGCACTCTCACCTGGGCGGCGGGCGGGGGCTGCGGCCCGGCGGCCCCGGGAGCTGCGGCCGCCCCGGGAGCTCCGGGAGCTGCGGCCGCCCCGCCGCCTCCTCCCGCCTCCGCCGCTCCTCGGGCTCCGCCGCCGCTCGGGGCCGCCCCCCGTCGCAGCGCCCGCCTCGTCCCCCGGGCAGCAACAGGCGCCTCCGCCGCGAAGGTTCCGCAGGGCGCAGAAAGGTTCCCCCCGGCCCGCGGGGTCCCGGGGCTGGAGCGGGATGAGGCGGGATGGGCCGGGATGTGGGGCCCCGGCTGCTGCTGTCCCTGCCATGGGCTGTGAGGAGAGCGACTGCAAGGGGCAACCCCCCACCGCCCGCGGAAAGCTGCTAATTAGCCACAGGGACCCGTGGTCAGTAAGGCTAAGGAGCCTCGAGGGCCTCTCCTCCGGGCAGGGACAATGAGGAGCTTACCTTAGCTCCGGGCCTTGGACCCTCAGGGTTAAAGCCCTCCTCATGCATAAAAACCCACCACGCTCCGAGCCCCTGCTCTAGGCCGGGTTCTTCACAGCAGAGAACTTTATTATTTCTCGTTCCCAGTGATACAGGACCCGTTTATACTCACCACTGCTGCTCCCTGTTCTCCTGCCAGAGCCTGGCTCTGCTGCCTCCATGCCCTGCCCACAGGCACTGGGCAACCATCACTGAGTCCACCCAACCCTTCTCCAGCTCCACATTCCCACTTCCCTCAGCCTGTTAAACCCCAACCTTTCTACAGCCTCCCCAGGGTTCTTTAAAATTCAAAGTCTCACATACCAGGGGTATCCAAAAGCAGAGGCAGCATTTCAGATACGAGTGCTGAGGAAAAGGTGAGTTCCTTGCTCATCTCCATGGGCTGGCTGTGGTGCCACAGACTGAGAGCCCAGTGTGCCCATGGCCTCTGTCACTGCCAGGACACTCTGCTGACACCACACTGAGATGCTCAGCCTGCACAGCAGCCTGGGTTCTGTGTTTTCATCTCTTACAGGGAACAAAAAGCACAAGTCCAGCAGAGAAAGTGCCTGTCTGGTTCCTCTGTCCTCAAATACCCAGAGCAAGAAAAATGCAAATGGGAGACTGGCATCTGGGCCTGGGTATGTACTGGCTACCTGAGCATCATCAGTGTAACCCAACTGTGAGTCCTTCAGGGGCCTCCTGGGTTTTGGGGAAGCCAGAGCTGATCCAAAATAAAAAGGACACAGCCCCCACCATCTCACAAACAATGTGCCCCAGGGTACTTGGCACAGGCATGAAAGGATCGCAGTAAACCTTTACCCTTCTGCCCATCTAGACACATCCAAATCCTCTATGGGACCTTCTGCTGTTAAACCTGATATGAAAGTCCAGATTTTCCTTCCCTGCCTCAGCCTGTCACACAGGGGATGAGGGATGGTGGCAGAGACCTCAGGAGCAACAGAACAAGTTCAAGTTAAAGCAGGCAGAATGACCCAGCAGAGCAGGGAGGGGTTTTTATGGGCTTTTAATGTGTTATGCTTCAGGCATTTGCCCCACAGCAACACGGACAAGCACAGCCCAGCTAAGGGCGGCTGCTTCACAGGCCAGTCCTCTGAGCACTCCAGCAGCTAAGCTCCTCCTCCTTATTTCCAAAAGAAAACAGAAAGCCTGGAAAGTTATTCTTGGTTTCTGTAGACGTACAACCACAAGATACCATGTATCTTTCACAGCCAACTGATCTTTGCAGTGGGACACCCATGTTGTCTGGTGGACATCTTGGGCTGGGTCTGCACAGGGAGCTGCCTGCACAATCCCTCTGCAGAGCTCATCCCTTCACACAGCTCCACATCCGCCACACTTCCCCAGCAGGCAGCTTGTGCTGCAGCCTCAGGACTCCCACTGATGCCACCAAAAGCACTCAGTCCAAGCAGCAAGTGGGGTTATGACTGCTGGTTTGCAATGCTGAGGCTGGAGTCTCACCGTCCAGAGAGAACTGGGGTGGCAAAGTCAGGTGTTATTTCTCAAGGAAATACCCTCAAGTCCCACCACACAACAGGTCTGGCTCCTTAAGCAGGTACCAGCTGTCCTTTACCATCTCTAGTGGAGGATTGGTTTGTAGCAATGACTCCTCCCAGAATAAGCAAATAAAGAAATGGTCAGAAATCTTCCAGCTGGGATCAGTGGTTGCCCCATAACTTCAGTGGAGCAGCCACCTACACAACCCCCCAAGTGCTTTTGCAGCCTTTTACACATCAGCCATCAACAGAAGAGCTCTACAAACAGCCAGCACTGCTCCTCAGGCCAGTGGCTGGTTGCTCACCACAACATGTAACCTCTGCCCTTCCCTCATGTCCTGTGCCTCAGCTGAATATGACAGGGCACCTGCAGCAGATTTTGCTCTCAGCTGGGCAGGCATCCAAGTATTGGGAAATTCCTGTAGCTGGGTGTTGGGAGGCACCAAAGCAAAGGGACATGGAGCACTCCTCCTGCTTTGCCAGGCTCTGTTTCAGTCTCAGAGTTGACACTTAGCTTTTTAAACCCAACCTGTGCACAGACTCAAGGGGAGACCCATAAGATCTGAAGAGGAGTTGATTTTGGCCTGCAGATCATCATGTGGGGGTGGAATATGTGAACAGCTAGAGAACATTCCCCACCTGAGTCCCTGGCTTTCTAGAACACCCACTGCACTGGGTCTCCTTTGGAGATCCCTGCACATATCCAAGGGACAGCACAGCCACACCTCTAGGGTAAGTAAAGCTGACTGATTGATGCCCTACAACTGGATCCCAAAAGAGCAAGACAGACATTGTCTTTATACAGGAAAGGCCATCAGATTTAAAAGCAAGAGCTTCAACTTCTGACTCTTTAAATGCTCATATCATTTACAGTCTGAATGGGGTTCTTGGGCAGTATCAGTTACATGGATTAGGAGCTGTAGAGGACATAAGTACAATTCCTCTTCCTGAGTTTTTTACAGCTTAATGGACAGGAAGCATTGTTGATGAGCCTCCAGCTTCTTACACTATGACCAGAATCTCCCCATCTTCCCTTTGTGCTTTTTTCTGTCCTAGAATCACTCTCAATTAACAGTACAAAAATAAAACCCATGTCATCCATCTCTCCTAAGCTGCACATGCATTATTCATCACCATGCCCTAATTGATTCTCTTATAACCATGAGCACTTCTGCACTTGGCTGTGTTCTTCTTGTCCAGCAGAGCACAATTTATGAAGTTTTATTCCACTTGGAAAAGGCACTTTCAAAGTGGTACCTTCCATGACTGTTCTGATCAGAACACCAGGTTTGATCTCAATGCATACAGACTTCAGTCCTGAGTTTTGTGCCCAGATAAAAGTGTCAATCAAGTAGCTCTGGTGCACTGATGCTCAGTGTCCTGACTGGGAGGTCAGTACTGTTCTGGATACTCTGGGCCTTCTTCCCCATAACAGGATCTATAAAAGAGGTAAAAGGGAAGATTTGAAAAGGACTCCACATCCCTCATTAAATGCTCTGAAATATGTAATCTATAAAACATGTAGGGAGCTAAAATGCCCTGCAACAGCTTTCCATGGAAGTTAGAGAAGCATCTTCTGAACTACTCAGCCAGAGGACAAGACTCTCTGAAGGCTCCCTCTGGAGCAAGAGAAAAATACATATTCCATTTACATGAGGATAACTCAGCTTTGCCTTCAGCACCCTGACACCAGAACACCTTTGGTTTCTTTCATCCTAAGATTTGACCAGGATTTCTGGGAACTGAAAGCCTGTGACAAAAAGCTTAGAAACAGCACATTTTTATCAAGGTGCAGTCCAGACACTCAGTGAGATGATCAGGTCTGAATTTCACTCTGCAACCCAAGCAAATACAAGTCAGCATATGACACCCTATACAAAGCAATTAATAAATCAAACCTCACCATTGGCACAAGTATGTTTGCTTTGATGGGACCATATATCACAGCAGTTTCTTCTCAATTTCTTCTCTAGTGACAGCATAATTCCTCCTACGGGTGGAGGAAGATCCTTTTCCTTCAAATGTGGAGTCTAACCTGTTATGCCAACTGCCACTGAAGTGACACAGACATCAGTGTGCCATGGTGACACCACTTGTGCTCCCTGAAGACCTTCTGTGGCCAGGGCTGTTACACTGTGCTCTGCATCACACCACCATTCACCATTAACCACATCTGAGTTGCCTCCCTTTTCCTCATGCCTTTACAAGTCTCTGATATTCCTCATTTCTCCATTTGGTGCTTGTTCCAGATGCTATTCACTGGTCCCTTTGCTTGCTGCTGCACTGTTCCATTGTGAAAGAAAGGGGGGCACTCCAGCCAGTCCCTCACAGGGAGCCCATCCCAGCTGCAGGATGGGAAAACTGATGGTGCTGCCAAGCTCTTTTCATCCTGAGAGAAGTGGAAAATTGGAAACAGAAGTTCACTCAGTTTCTAATATCCCAAGGTATCGCTGAGCTTTGTGCTGAAGGACTTGGTCAAGGAGTCACGAGGGAGCCCCAGCTCAGAGCAGCCTGTTGGGTTTGTGGTGCCCCAGCCCCACGGGCATTAATCAGAGGCACCATGGCTGGATTTCACCTGCACTGACACACGCAGCCTGCAGCCTCCTTCTTCCCCCGCTAGAAGGGGCTGAGAACCAGCCACGGCCGGGCAGGGAGTGAAACAAGGGAGCTTCGTCATGGGCAAGCTCGGCAAACCCCACCACACGAAACAACTTGAGCACGTCCTCTGCCTCTCTGCATTAGCCCAGTCCAGAAGGGATTCCGTGTCTCGACAAAGCATCTCTGCTTGAAAAGCTGGAACTTTAGTTTCTTAACCCTCTGGTGAGCTGCTCTGGAGAGGATTTCAGTACTGAAACGCTGTAATGTCACTGCATAGCACAGCACTGCTCACTTGAAACACTCTTCAGCCTTCAACACTCCATTTTCAAACACTGGGTGCAGAAGGTGAAACAAGGCACCACTTCTTCCAGAAGAAGCTGGAATTGTTTATGGTTTTAGGAAAGTAAAGAAAATAGCAAAGATATTATGGTAAATCAGGAGGAAGAAAGATCCAGATAGGGTGTTTTGCTCATAGAAGAGGCAGTTTTATACTTAAAG